AAAAAAAAAAAAAAAAGAAGAAGGATGTGAACTCAGTTAACCTGTATATTTTGGGTTAATCTTGCTGAGATTGCAAGCTGTAATTGGATTTGCAGCAAAGATGATCAAATAATTCACCCAAAAATTATAATCTCCTCACCCTCATGTATTTTTTATTTATTTATTTATTTTTACTTTTGTTCTTATCTGTAGCACAAAATGAGTTATTTTCTAACTTCCGTTTGGATGTCATTAATAAATATTTGAGCACTACATGTCTGAAATAACATGACAATGAGTAAATTATCAGAATTTTCATTTTTGGGCAAACTATTCCTTTGACCTTTAGATTTCTCCTTCCCAAAATCCATTGCTTTTGCTTTAGATTTACCACTGATTTGTATTAAACCCCCACACTTGAATCCCATGATACCATTAGCACAAAGTTCACATGTATTTTTACTTAAAAGTCAGACTGCCCACACGTCTAGGACTTATTATCATTTCATCAAATAGCAGGGTGGAAAAGTTCATGTCTTTGCCATGAATCCTTTAAATGTCTCTGTTCTCTGAGAACCTTCTTTCAAGCATTTTATATGACTAATACAGAATGTCAATGGGAGCATAAACAGTTTAAGACTAACAAAAGCCAGCTAAAGCATAGAAGACAGATGATTCCATCACCACATAAACAACCCTGTAAGCAGCAAGTCTGATGTTTTTTTTTTTTTTTTTTTACTCCAGCTGACATTGGAGAGCACACACTGATGGATTGGGCAAAGGCCAACCGCTAGCCAGCTAAATGACAGATTACACAGTGACAGTGGAGGTGATCACTGTCGGGTTCACTGTCTTGTAGAGGACTTTGTTTCATCTAGTCTAGCCTAATGAGCCCATTATAGGCTTGTGCCATTAGGCTCAAGACTAAGAAAATGACCCATGTGATGGAAATAAGGATATTGATCAGTGACGTACAGTAACTGTAAAAGGGTGTTTATACTGACAGCAATTTGCAGCAACCTTTTTTTTGCAGCCTATTTTGCAATGAGTGTATTTCTAACAATATGAGTGACATCAACCTGTTGGCATATTCAGTGACACAATAAAGTTTAAAATAATTTAACTTCATGCAAATTAGTAGCAATCTGATGTGGCAAAGTCAGATCCATCTTCTGTGAGAAGCAAGTGTTAGCAAGACGATTACTGTGAGCAATTTCGCTGTTCTATATGATTCTCCTCTGCCCACACACATCTTTAAAAAGTTTGGGCTCAGTAAGATTTTTTTTTTTAAAGAAATTAATACTTTTATTTAGCAAAGATGCATTTAAATAAAAGTGACAATGTATTATGTTATAAAAGATTTAATTTCAAGTACTGTAAATTCAAACTGTCTATTCACCTAAAAAAGGATAGTTTCCACAAAAGTATTAAGCAGCCCAACTGTACTGGAGTAATGGCTGCTGAAAATTCAGCGTTGCCATCATAGGAACATATTGTATTTTAAAATATATTAAAATACAATAAAATATTTTTGAATTGTAATAATATATAATAATATAATTTTTTTAATCAAATAAATGCAGCCTTGGTAAGCATAAAACTGAACCTAAACTTTTGAACAGTAATGTACATCGATTTTAATCTAATTTATATAAAAATAAATGATGCATAGAAACCTTTGTCAGGCACTGACACCATTCTGAGTGAGGTTCATCCACACACTGATAATCGTTCATCTTGTTCATGATATGATGTACAGTATGTGCTGCAGTAATTTATGTACAGACACTTCCTCTGTGTTACTAATGTTAACTTTTAGCTGCAAGAAAATAGATTTTTTGTCAAAGCGAGTGACATCTTTTTATTTTTTGGCCAGTTATGCATCCAACCAATAATTTTAGAGCATCTAGCAAAATGAACGTCTACTAATACATTATATTGCTGTCAGTGTGAATGAGGGAACTATTCTGTGTACTGATGCTGTCGGTCTACTCTCTTTGTGGAAACTCTAAACTTATGATTGGTTATTACACCGGAATTCACAGATTTGTATTTATTTATTTTTGTCTCTATTATTAGACAGATTCATTAGAAAGTAACGGGAAATCACTGGGAAGAAAGTGGGTTAATGGGATCAGAACAATCGAAGGCCACACTTAAACTTGCATTGGCCACTTGAACATACGGTATGCACTAACTGCTGTGCTATGGCCTCAGCATTTATCTCAATTCAGATATTCTTTATACTTTTTAAAACTCTTTTCTACTTGAAGTTTTTCTGAAAGATAAAAGCTAGTGATAAATTACAAGTATCAAGCTAAATCAACTGGGAGATGAGGTCACCTAAAAATCAAAAGGTATTTTCAATGCTGTTGACCGCAGTTCTGGCACAAGGTCTAACTTAATTTGCAATTTGCTCCAAAAATAATCCATGGATGAATAGAGAGAGATAACAGAACAAGGCTATTTTATATCCACGGAGAGATATTAAGTATTTCCTTTTTTTTCACAACCCCCCTCCAGCTCCCCTTCCATGAATTTGTGGAGGCCAGTCAGGAGATTTGTGTGCGAGCCTGATACAGAAAATCCATCTGTTCTGCTGCAAGTTTTTGTGTGTGTGTCCTTCCTTTACCTCCCACAAAGTCATTCTTGTCATTGAGCTCCTGTGACATATCAGCACTTATTCCCACACCTCAGCACACACACACAGGGTGCTACACAGTTATACATGCACAAAGTCGATTCTTTGATTTATTGCCTTGAGGGTAAGACACAAAAAACATGCAGAGATAACTTTTCTCCACAGTGCTGAATGGATGACGGCAGAAGACAGAAGTGCCGGCTCAACATCGTGATGTCTGTCAGCCATCGGCGATGGACGATGACACCGGCTATCGGCCCAACCCAGACGGTGAAACTCCAGTGTGTGCTTACAGCGCCTAATAAATTTGTCCATTTGTATGGGCGCTAATATAGTTATCTATATAGTTATCGTATTGTGAACAAGGCTTAACAGAGGTCAATGCCTGTTGCTTTCACATGCATTCTGTAACAAGCTTTAGCCCAACATAAAGAGCAAATAATATTGATAGTCCACATCCCAAAGTGAAACTCACCATCAGTTACACTTGTCTCTGATTGCTCACTGAGAGTTAAGTGAGCATGTCAGCACAACAAAGCCCAGTTTGTGCCCCATCACAATAAAGACAGGGTCTGTTAATCATT